GTACGTATATATAATCTCGTTTTTTTTGTTAAAGTTTTCAAATTACACATACAGATAACTGATTAAGAAACGTGACAAGCGCCTATGGGTGGAACCAACATTTCATACTGTCGGCTACACAACCACAAGAAGCGTTTGTGACTTGAATATTTTTGCCCAACCTTTGATTTGGGAAGCACTAACAATGTTGCGGGACAATTTGGACATCCCTTCCTTTCCAGCCATGGCTGAAATACTACTAAAATTGCAGTGAGTGATAATACACGACTACAATGTAAACTGGCATTGCGGGTTATGCCTAACTACTCAGCCTCCAAGAAAATCGACTATGAAAGTTAACACCGTACCCAACAATACTTGCATAGCCAAGAGGCAATTCACAAACAAACAAACCCACAAATCCATCAGCAAAGCAAAAGGTTTTTCATTGTTAGTTGCTGAAGCAGGTTGTTTTAACCCATCAAAATAAAATTCATTCGGCAAACTACTGAGATTAATCTCCCACGAGGGGAAACACAAGTTATAGTTTAATTGAGAATAGCACTTTTATCACCAGTTACTAAGCATGCAGTTATGGCAATGTATATGTTTTCAGAACGCTGACATATAGCAGAATTCAATCATATATGTTTCGTGTTAATAGTTGCTCAGGGGATTAAGTTACAATCGTTCCCGTGAACCTCCTAAACAGAGTTTTTTGCGGGATTGGCCGTTTCTCGGTGTTCTGTTTTTTCTATGTTTCTGATCTTTTTACTGTTGCTTTATAAGATCTTTGAAAATGCGTCTCGGAATTTTCATGTGCCTCGTAATTCTTGAGATATAGTCCGTTGAACCTTATGGACTAGATATAAACAAACATCCATGAGACATATTTTGGCCCATTTTGTGGTGAATAGTTTGTGCAAAATATACATCCTTAGCGTAAAGACAAGTGTTAAAAAATGACATTTTCAATTATGATAGTCAAAAATTAGTTTCCGTAAAAGCTCAATAAAACGTTTCTTCGAATTTGGCCACTTGCACAGAAACTTGAATGAAACAGCTGGGGGTATATCAAATGCACACTCATTGATCGGTACTCGGGTTTCTACAAAGATAAATTTTGCATACGACTCTCACCCACATGTTGAAGTAATTTCACAACAGACATATAGTTGAAGAAATATAAAATTTGAACATGCATAGTCGGAGAAATGGCTCAAAAACAAGACTCACTATGAAAAAAAAAATGTGCTTTGAAGTCGCATATAGTTTAACATACTTAGTATGAACAAAACCTATGCATTACCAAGATCCTGAATTTCAAAAATGCTTGATTTTGATGAATTGTTAAACTCGCCACAAGTCACATGGATGCACCGAGAACGAAACAAGTGTCCAAAGGGAGACAAAAAGCCAGTTCAGACACTAGCCATAGTTTCTATCATCTAAGCGAGATTCTTTTACTGTCAACGGCATACTGTTCCGAATACCACAGTACACCAACATAAATTTGCCAGCTAAGTTGCTGACTGGTTTGCTATTCACGTCTCAAAATCATTCTGTAATTAGAACTGGTTAGTTCAATCTAGCTTTACGAGGGTTCGCCGTTAAAATGAAACGCACCAGACATACCATCGCCTGTATCCATACATAACTTTGCTATTTACACATTATATAGAAATGTTTTAATCAAATATATTGAAAGTTAATCGCATCGTGATCTTCTATTGATATTCCGATGTGTCCGAGGGGGAGGGGTAGCTGGTCCAGGTTAATTACGGCATTTTACGTTTTTACAGGAAATAAAATGAAAGTTCCATTTACAATAAAAATTCGTATTTACACTTTACAGATAAAGCAAATTCCTAATTACATTTTTATAATATTTTTGATAATTTGAGTTTACGAATCAAAATTCGAAATTACGACATTTAATTTGGAAAATGCTTGATATGCTTACCAAAATTACGGACGAATGCAATATCCAATTACATTTTACACCTTACCCATGTCTACGAATTTACGTTTTTATTTTATTTAAATTACCTTATTACGAAAATAAAAACAATTGACTACAGCTTACGAAAATATCCCTTGCTGACCCTCTTGAAAAGATTGCAGGTCATCAGTTTGACCTTTAGAACGAAAAATCATGTACGAATCGCAGATAAACATGAGCATTAGATTGATATTTCCATTCATTAATTTTAGTCGCCAATGCTGGGAAAACTCAGTCGGTTGTCTAAATTGACCAGTGCATACTCCACACCATACTAGCTTGGCAAAGATTGAATAATCTCAAAAGAAGGGTAAAGTTCCATTTCTCTGCTACATAGAAAGGAAACAGGATAGACCAACAAACTGTTAAACACAAGCAAGGCAGTACAGGCAGTTAAATTTACTATTAGTAATTGCCTTCCTCGATGTCTACTTCCACCAGATTTCATTTGAAAGATTGCTTCTTTACCCATGAATGTCCTATTGCAGGGACTTGTAACCAAGCAGAATCTTTGATATATCTGTGGATTAAGCAAATTCATGATCCAGGCTTGGTCCAACATTTTTCATTTGAGCTAATACCCACATAAGGATGCATTTTCTATTGGTTCAGACAGCAACCATCGTGTCATTCGTACAGTTGTTACTAGATAATTTATCAGTGAAGAAACTTTTTCAGACATTAAAAACTAGCCCCTTATGCATTGAACACGTTCTGAATGACTTGACTATGAAAACAAATAGATGAATATCACTTGTAAATATTTGGTAATTAAACACAATGGTTCTGTTAATTGAAGTATCTTTATTATTTTACAAGTTGCAGCGTGCCGTAATTTTGCGGTATTTCCGTCCTACCATGCGAAGACTGCGGCGACCACCACTACTACTACAAATAAAAACATACATGGCTGCCACCAGTTAGACCGGACTCCAAAGAAGTTTGTTCAATCTGTTCTAAACATTTTTAATTACGACATTCCCAAGGAAAAGATGTATAATAATAAGGCTGCGAGTTAGTGGATAGTCAAGCTGTACTGTCTACGTGCATACTTAGAGGTATTCTCGCATTAGTGATTGGCCGACTTTGGGTTAGATATTTCCAAAGCCTTTTTTTCGCATAATTTTACACAGAATTCAGATCTTTTATTCCATAATGTATTTCTACTAGCGTTACCCATGTACTATACAAATACAACTAAAGAACCACCTCTTAACATATGCTATGGTGTTTCAGTGATGCCACTCTCCCTGTGCCAACTGTTCTAAGAAAATAATTGTTCCAAACATGACATTTACCAAGAAAATACTTGTTCTAAACGGACTGTTTACTAGAGAACAACTTCCTATTTAAAAATAGTAAATTATGTTGAAGTAGCAACACCCAAGATTAAAGGCAATGATTTCCAGACAATGTGTGCTAAGCAAGTGATTTCTGATAAAATTTATCTACTCCATACAAAAATATGCTGTGTTACTCATGCACTATGACAACTGACCACAGCAGTGTCAAAAACTGGTATGCCTTTCCTTCTATTTATAATTGAACTACAACAGTGCCTGAAAATGGTTTTGTGTTGCTGCACTTGGGTGAACAGACGATGCAACAACGTTCGTGACGGATGAGTGATATAAATATGGCCTTTTTGAACTGTCACGAATATATCATGATTACACAGTTTTTGGCGACTTTGAAAGAAACTGAAAAATCAACTTGTGGGTCAAAGGGGACACCCGAAAAAGTTATTCACCACTGGGAGCGGTTTCAATCAATGTGTTGTTTAAAACAGGAGTTAACTACTTCAACTTGGCTCGCAGTAACTTTTAATGACTTTCATCTTGTCGAGAAAGGCCTCCTGAATAACCAACAATGGTGCTATGATGCAGACCTGGAGGAAAACATTTCCATCAAGCCAACTTTACGTACTTATCTAACTACAAACGGGATTGGAGAAATTGCTGTTCTGACGAGGTTTCCTTAGTTTAACCGCACACCTTTCTTAATTGAATAGTCAAAGTTATAATCAGACAATGCCGCTTCAACAGTTACGAATGTCTCTAAAGAGCTCTGTAACTATTACATTGTGTTGAAAGCACAAATTACAGAATGACAGAAACTTGCAGCAGGAGCAACGATTCACAGATGTAGGTAGTCATTACACAGATTGTTGACAGTTTGAACATCTTTGCCACCTTAGGTAACTTTTTTCCTGTCTAGTGTGTCAGCCATCTTAAAAACTGACAACCAACATAAATGTGCAACTACACTTTACAAACTTTGTCGATGATAGGGTTGATGAAACTGGTGAATACAGGCATAGCTAAATTTAATGACACACTAATGAAAGTGTTAAATAGAAGATAACAAATTTCCAGTCCAAGTCTCCCAAAAAGTGAGATTTTAGGCTAGAAAAAAAAATTTCCATTTCTCGTTTCATGGACATTTTGAAATAAGGTGGCGAGGCGATTTTTTTTTTATTGAATACTGAGCTAAAATGGGGGAAATTTGAGACAAGTGAGAGTACAAACACAATTTGGCATGCTTTAGAAGGAAAACGAATGTTTGAGGCGCATAGTTAAAAATGATGGGTGTGGAAACAAACGTATTATTGTTCTCAGCCTTAGAAACATTAGCCATAATCACCGGGTCAACTGGCGGCGACAAGACCCACTGGTAGTATCAGGTGCAACGCTATAGACTTTATTGCGGGGTCAATGGTCGAATTAAAAGCAAACATACATGCATATTTATTGCATTATGACTGGCCTTTGTACATGTACCTAGTGGACAAAATTTATCCAGTCATATTCCAGGAATGTTAATGAATGAAGAGGGCTTGAAAACACAAGTTAATAAACTTGGAGGAGCAACTGTAACACTCTGAACACCACAATTCAATTTGGGTAAAAATATGGGGTAAAGAAAAAACGCTACCAAAAGTTTTCATTTGTGATGGCGACTGAAGTTGATATTAGAGTTCAAAGGATTAAAACAAAGAGTCAATAAAACACATTTGAAGTTTTTTGTTGTTGTTGTAAATCATTTCATTTATTCTCATTTGCAGCAGCAGGCAAGTTTTTTTTCGTAATTCTTGTTTATAACATAAATTCTTGTCGCCCCCTCCATTTACAACGCACAGTGGGACCTCTGGAGACTGGAAACAATTCAGCTGACCATATTTTTTTTTAAATATACGTGTATATATTCGTTATTTTATTATTTTTTTATGAAAATCAGCTTTTTTGCGCACATCAGAATTTGTGGCAATTGTCTCAAGAGGAAAATTCCTCTCGTTTACACATTAATTACGCACGAGTTATCGAGCTCTTCTAAAGAGCCCCCACAACTCAAAAACAAAAATATGTAAGCTTTTTTTTTTGCTGTTCATCAGAAATATAACATGCATCCAAATAACAGCAAAATGAATTAACTATTAGATTTCATATCTAATACCACCACGAACCCATAATTTATATTTACTATTTATTTTTACAGAATTTTACACCGTTACATTATTTGTAAGGTCACATTTTCTTTGCGACCTCCCGGTATGCCTAAAGCACATTCACCAGCCAATCGTTAAAGACATTATTCCCATGGTTAAAGAGTAGTACAAAACAATTTCAGTCCAGTCTCGTTGAGACTTGATAATTTTATTTAGTACGCATTGCACCAAAGAAATTCAGTTTAAAGGTGGCTTCAGAAGATTGGCTTGCACAATGTATCAGAATTATAATCTTAGAGCAAGGACCATCCAGCTTCCAAATCTGAAATGTTCATCTTCAAGTTATATTATATTACTAGTTTCCTTCCTCAGCACTCGTCACCAGAGTCATCATCTGCTTCACGAAGCCATGTGAAGAAAGCGGTGACTGACTTAAGGGCAACACCTTTACCATGTTGTTCATTTGTATCTTCACTTGATTCCCATGCATAGAAAGCCTCTTCTGAAATCACATCTTCGTCATAAAGCTTATCAAAAAATATACGTAGCAAACCTGTGGGACAAAAACAATTGAAAGAACTCAATACTGACACAGATCAGCAAGCCAAAATATCTCTAACATGAAACGAACAAAACAACCCCTTTCCACCCATCAAGTTTTCCTGTTGAGAATTCATGGCTGTTTTAAAATGCTTTTAACAGACTACAAGCACACAAGACTACAAGTTCATATCATCAAACTTATTCTCCCAAACATATCACCACAAAATAAATAACGAATCACATTAAGCTTTGAGAATACCTGGTATTTTACACAAGGTTATTGCTTGTTGTAATGAATTTTAAATTCTACTGCATTTTGTGCAACACTTGATAATACTGAATACAGCTTGTAGCCATAGCGATATGTGTAGCCATAACTGAATTGAACAAACGACACGACTTACTTGGAGGACTATCCAGTTTATAATTTAAAGCTTGTAAAGCATACAAAGCTTGTAATTCTAATTTATCATCATTATCAAGAAATTTTTGAAGAATTGGTGCTCTTAGCTTCACTTCATCAATTAAACAACGACAGTTACTGGCTTCCCCTATAAAGTAAACACAAAATACAGGTTATCAACGAGACCAGAGCAACAAGCATCTTATACAAATCATACAGCACGACATAATATTTGCATGACAAAAATTAAATTGTCCTTTCAAATGACATACAATTCTGATTTATGCATTTCACTTATTACCACCACCATAACTCTGTACATAATTTAAAGCGAGAGAATCGTCACCTGCGCACGCGCAGGAATGGAGTCCAAATCGACGATAACACACGCTAAAAGCGCAAAGGCTCATAGATAGACGCTTGTTTGTAAACAATGACACTCCATTTGACCCATGCGCAGGTGACGACTCCCCGCTTTAACAGAAATACAATACAGAGGGACATGTTTACAATTTTCTTTAGATACAAATTACAAATTGAATGGTAACATCGGCACATGTGAGTCTTAACATTCTAAAGTTTAAGAGCTTTTAAAATGTGTAACAATGACAATCAGAATAGTGATATCTGAATAAACACTTACCCGATACAGCACTTTGGCACACAAGTGTCATCAAGGCACGAATAAACTCCTTATCTTTTCGTCTCCCAGGTGCTACATAGGCCTGAAAATGTAATAAATCGCATTATTATACGCTGTGAGCTACTCCGATGAAGACAACAGTTATTAATGCTAACTGCAATTAACATTGCATTATATACTTGCGGGTCTATAATAACCCTATTTCATATTCATAACAGCCAGAAATTTACATTACAATGACACTAGAACACAAATATGTAATCCTGTAAAGCACGGTGTGTGTATTAGCATATTTAAACTTCATGTCCGAGCAATCTCGTGTCATGCACAATAATACAAGGTAAGTGTTCACTAAGGAAAGTGTAAGTGTCCTAACCATTTTCCCCAAACGTTACGTTTTTGTGAGTATTTCATAGTGATGTAACAAATGCATTCCAGGCAATTCCTACGAAATGATTTTTGCAGAAATTCAAATTTGATCAAGGAGCAATACTGTGATGTAAAACATTTGATAACAAGACATGAAATGTCACAGTCCCTGTTATTTGATTTTAAAGTAGTACAAGGAACATCTGCAAACAGGTGAATGAATATGTACTCTATGTGGGTACAACTCATCATAAAGTGATTTCCCATAATCTAGTTTTGTACTGACAACTAAAAACTTCCACTGACCCATGTTCAGAATCTCAGAGTACACAAGTGCAACAAAACTATTTGTCATACATGTATACTTGCTCAAGAAACTGCATTCATAAATCTGAGTGAACCTTGATGTACATGACTTCTTTGTTAATCAGGTCTTAGTATATTACCAGGACCTGGGTTTGTTTCAACATCACCACTGGGCATCAGAATCATTCTCATGTTGTCAAATACAATTTTTTATTAATACAGTAAGGTTTATTATTTAAAATGTATTCATTGTACATAGAACAACATCTGTTAATTTAAACAATTGTAAAAGCTATGTTTTCAGAGCAAGTACATGTAATAATTAAGGAAGCCAGTAAAGGTTGGTCTGCTCATAACCTTCAATGGAGAAGTAACAATAATTGTTTGAAGTCTTTTTAG